TGGGCACTTCCACCCGCCGCGTTTCGGTGCCTGTAGCACCATTGGCTACACCGGAATCGTGGTTTCTGGCGACCACGGTTTCCTTCAGCTGCCTGAGAGGCAAGGGACCACGAGCCAATCAGCGTCCGCGATGGAGGCGCGTCATTGGTCGACCGTAGGGGTGTGTCCCCTGGGGTGGGCGCCGGATTGGCGGGCCGTGAAGGCCCGTTTCCAGGTGGTACTGAGGCTGAGGCCATCATCTCGGTTTAAGTTGATGGGTCTCCTTGATATTTCCAGGGCCTCTTTAATGACGCGTGGCCACCAGCGGTCCTCGGAACTAATTGTGCGGGTCTTGTTAAATTCAATGAGGTGACCGGTTTCGGCGGCGTGTTGTGTTAAGGCCGATTTGTGAGTGTTCTTCAGCCGGTCGTTGCGCATGTGTTCATGCATGCACGGGATTTCGTACACTATGGCGTTCTGTCGTGGATCCAGGCGGTCTTTCACCTGGACCAGGCTCCTCCCGATCTTGTTGTGGGAATAGAACACCGGGCGAATATCGGCTCTGCGTAGTAGCCTGCCAATCCTGTCCGTGATGCGTCGGACGTAGGGGAGGCGATCTGTCTAGCGAGGTGGGCTGGATGGCTCGTTGGTGTCGATGTGTGTAGTTGCGTCATCTCGTGCGTCTAAGTTTTTTAAGGCACGTTGTATTGCAGATTTGCTGTAGCCATTGGCCAGGAAAGTCTCTCTGAGTACCTCTTTTTCCTTATTGAGACTGTCCATGTCGCTGATAAGGGCGGCCCGGTGAGGGTGGTGGGTACTCCTCGTTTCGTGGCAGGGTGATGGTGCGAGTCCGCGTGTAAATAGCGATTGGTGTGGGTCGTGTTCCGGTACACGGAGTGGCCGAGGGTCCCGTCGGGGTAAGAGTAGCTGGCCGCTGAAGTTCTGTTTCGCTTGTGAAACGGCTGCGGGGATGGATGCTGTTGAGGTGGGCCAGGGAGGTTTGTAGATTCTTGGGACCATGGGGCCAGATGACAAAGGTGTCATCGACGTAGCGAAGCGAAGCAGAGCGACGTAGCGAAGCAGAGCGTCGGTTTTAGAGGCGCGTTTTTCAGGGCCTGCTCTTCAAAGGCTCCCATAAAGAGGTTCGCTACCACAGGGGAGAGCGGTGAGCCAATGGAAGCACCGTCAATCCGCCTCTCAGGAGGCTCCTTTGTGAGAATTTCTCCCCTTTTTCGTATTAATCCATTTTTGAATTTCTCCCTCTCTATTGCCACCTTTCCCGTGATCCTATTTTGTTTTTCCTCTCGTTACCCTGGAGGGGTGGGAATTTATTTGCCTTAGGAATACATAATACCTGCAGCCGATGAGGCTTTTGCAGGTTGTAAGGGCAGTAACTTAAATAAACTAACTCATGCTAACTTAAAACTAATTACATTTTCTCTTTGGGAATTGTTTTTTTTTTATTTAGTTGTAACGATTTTCTGGTTAGTTCTCTATTATGTTCTTGTTTCTTTTTTTGTTCATTTTTCACACGCATTCATTCTTGGCTATTTACAATCCCATTCATTCATTTATACCCACAGCACAATTTACACTGCATTTTGATCACCACGGCGCCGACTTTACTCAAGCGTCCCTGGCGCCGCGACGTCTTCATTATCAGGCAACGCTGGCCTGGCGTAGCGCGTTTCCGGCATCCGTAAGCGGCGATCCCCTGTCACGCACTTGCTGCTCCCCCGCGTCGCAGAGCTCAGACAGCTTGTGCGGGGGCAGTGCGCGGAAGGTAAAGGCGACGTGCTGTGGGCCCTTTTTTCTGTGAAAGGCCCTGTGCCCGCCGCTGTTCGCCGCCTTGCCGGTCTCGCGCAAGATGCGCAGAGCGGACGGCCTCAGCGGCCTTGCGAGCGCCGTCTCCGCCCTCTTTTGTAACTCCGCCGGGAACTGGTTGCAAACGCCTACACAAGCAGTACATTTGTGCAGTTTTATGAACGCACGAAAAGTGTAATGTGCGTTCACGTCACCGCGGTGGGACCATTCCTACCCTTACGGGCATATATGGCCAATCCTGTAACATAAAGAATCGAACGCCTAAGATTCTGAAAACGTGATCCCAACTTGCTTCTCTCCCCAGTTACGGCTCCGTTCTTTATCCACCACTACCGCACCAACTGCCCGCTTCCTATTGGTCGGCTACTTGACCAATCCTTGACGCCTTCGTCGAACGCTGCCCACGCTGCTGGAGAAGCGAGCAGAGGCCCGCTGGCAACACCGCCGCCCGCTACGATCGATTTCTCGACTATCCCAAGGAGCCTCTTCAGAAGAGCACTTGAGGAAAGCAACAGGAGGTTCCTCGAAGCGGCGCGGATTCGGCCGCTGCCACCGGACATGGAGGTAGAGATGATTGAGGTAAACCCGTCAACGGAAGACGCGACTATGACATCGAGCAGGTCTTGCGAGACGTGATAATGAGTCTTCCCCCGACTCCTCCCCAGACCGATCCAATAAGAAACCTCTGCTGGGTGACGGTTTCCAACTTGTCAAAAATGGAGCCAAGCCTAAAACCCCGACTATCCCCAATCCTACAGAAACCCGGAACAGATACCAGCCTCTAACAACCCCTGACCAGCCACCAACCAGCTCAGACACCTCAGACAACCATAAAGATCAAACCACTCTCCCCCAAACTACCCAAAGACAATCGAACCAAGTCAAGGGAAGGATTGGACCATTCCGCAACGACCTGACCTCCATCCTCGACCCTACTGAACTCACAAAGGACCTGATGAAAACCAGCAGTAATCATATGACTGCAAAATGCACAAAGACCGAATTACTAATCCAACCCATGACTGTGACTGCCGACGCAAAAATACGAGACAGACTTGAACAAATTTCCACTGACCCGCAACTTAAAGGACTCTTTTTTGTGACAATATCATACCATTTCAATAGAGCTACCGAAGAGGCCAGAGACAAATTTGTACTAAAAGGACTTCCCCCAAGATACTGCATTGACTCAATCAGACAGAACCTACAAAGACTGAACATCACCTACCATCACATCACAGAAATGCAACGACGAGACAACGACGGAACATTGACCCCTCTTGGCATATACACGGTGGAGACGAAGAAAAAAGAAATGACGGACATCAAAGCAAAATTAATCTACATCGACTACTACAGAATTAGGATAGAGAACTACAGGACAACGGACAGAATCCCACAGTGCAAAAACTGGCAGAGACTGTACCATACTAAAGCCTACTGCCGACGGACCCCGATCTGCGCTCTCGGTGCCCAAGCCCACCCCACGGAAAACTGCCCTTCACACACAACCTCTGACCGCTCCTTCACTCCCAAGTGTATCAACTGCTCCCAGCCCCATCCCGCATACGATCCATCATGCCCAGCCATAGTTAAGGCAAAAACCCTTCGCCAGCAATCCTTAAAACCCACCTCAACCATATCTCCCCCGCAATTCACAGAACAATCTTTCCCATGCCTACCGAAAAAACAACTCTTATACCACAGCCATCAAACCATCCCAAACAAACACCGGAACCCAACCCTCACAATTCACTGCCCAAGACCTGAAAGACCTATTTTCCCTCCTCCAAAACCCATCTGTCAAGAAGATCCTATCCCATATCAAACCACTCTTAGAAATACTCCAAGGCCCAGAGGACATCGTTACTAAACTAATCGCCGCTGGCTTAAAATCGTACCAACATTTGAAGACGACTCGGAAATCGACAAACGCAGAAAAGAAACAAGCCGACTAAACTAATCACACGAAAACGCAAACCGACAATCAAGACAGACAAAGAAAGACGCACAGGCTATGACGACAAAAAACAAACACAAACATAACATAATTACAGAATCCACCCTTCGCCAAAATAAACCACAGCATCCCTTCACTACACCCATCCGAAAAGGCCCCCCCCACCAACCCATCCCAACCTAATCCCTTTCCTCCCCCCCCTCACCCAGTACCATCCTAATAAAATAACCCATCCACCTCAAGAAAATAACCCATCAACCCCGACCCCCAATCCCCGTACGGGGGAGAGGAGACATAGCACAACCAGCACAAACACCCGGCTACAACCACCTGCTCCAAGAGACCCCACAAGGGTCCGGCGAGCAACACCACCTTCCCCCGGAAGCAGGAAGGCCACAATACGCTGGCCGAAACATTAGCCACCACGTCCCAGATAGCCTTATGCCATATGTCCCCACCAAACGTGGGCCACCCTCGTATCTTCTAAACGGTTCGTGGTAGTTTTCGCTCTACAATGCGGAATCACGGGGCACGTAATATGTTGAACGGATATCGTTCACAATATTTTTAGTTTTCGAGTAATTTAATAATCTTTGATTTTTTTTAGTGGAACTATTAATTTTTCTCACTGGCACTCTATATATTGTTAAAGGAGGAATACAATGATAAATCATTTATTAATATTTTAAAAGTAGTTTGAATATAAAATACTAGAAATTTTAAATTAATTTAATATATTAATAAATACGTTATTTTAAATTAAACCAACAAAATTTCCTTATGTAGCCCTAGCATCTGTCACTTTCGGAAAAGGTAGCCTTCACTTTGCACCGATCAGCCTCGGAGCAGCAAGGACACTTTCCCTAAAGGCGGTACAATGCAAGAGCTGCTACACGAAATATTGTTTCAATTTAAAATCATATGTCAAAAAGTCTAATTTTAAAATCACTATCAAAATACTAATATTGGATTCCTTGTTTAACAATCTATCCATTGCTGCTGAGAAAAATGTATAATTCCATTTAAAAAAACAAAAGACGACTTAATTTCTGGAAAACTAAAAATATTTCAAACAATATCTCTAAGGCACCTGAACTAACATTGTTGACAGAAAACTGCACTTTGACACCATGAACCTTTTAGAAGTTTTGAGGGTGGACCATATTTGGTGAGAACCCAACATATATGCATATTATCATCTTTGCATCTAATTATTTCATCAACATTTACTTAACAAGGAATGACAATTTAAAAACATAACTCTTAACAGACTAGGCTTAATCTGTAAATATAAGACAACACTATTAAAAAAAATTATGAAGAATCCTTGTTTTATATTTGAATAAATGCAGTATATTAAATGAACATATCTCCACCTAAGATTCCCTGCTCCAAAAGACTTCAACAAGCTTGTACGATCCAAATTTTCTTGGAACACAGAGTCGTCAGGATTAGGATCTTGAGCTGGCCATCAAGTACAGGTGCATGGCTGTGCAGTTCCTGGATAGTGCAAACTCGTCCAGGGAGTGGCAGGGGGAATTTGTTATCTTTGACACAATATACTTACTATATTACCTACCCAGTTGTACTGGAAATAAAAATAATAGCCTTAGTTTGAACTTCCACTATTGATTGAAAGATCTATATATCTTTGTTACCAAAAGAAAAGAACGCTTACATGTTTATGTAATATTTTTATTAGAGTATTTATGTTATATCCTCAACGATATGCTAAATTGTTCTTTCACAGAAGAAACAAGTCATACTAAAATGAAAAACACAGTAATTTTCTGCTGATTCAATCAGCAAAATATTTAATATACATAACAAATAAGGAGGATCAAATGTGTAACATGGATACTTAAATACAGTCGTGTGGCCATGCAATTTTTACATTACAATAATTGTCAGAAATATTCAATAAAATTCTACATAAATTTATACAGATTAGATCAGTCAAGAGTGCTTTCAGAAAGAATTAGACCAGAGATTAGAGGGGGAATATAATAGATTATCAACAGCTTGGGCTCTATTACAGTAGGGCATCAAATGGTATCATACATAAAAAAATAATCAATTACACATTTGTCAACATCTCCGGATCTTTACATCTTTTGTCTATTTACAAAACCACATAAATAAATTCTGTCCTCACCGAACGTTTCACCACTTGCACACAATTCCTGTCTCCAGTTTTGTTTGCTTTCCGTAGCACAAGGTTTCTGTACCCCATTTTCTAAATACTATTAGTAAGAAAAGCGTGACTGGAAAAAGGATAGACAGGTGGGTTCTCTTACTGCTCGACAAAGTATTTGTTTTGTCTCTGCTTCTGTGCCGCCTGAATGCATTTGGCCATTGTTGGTGATGCACGGCTGATGCTATCAGTCATAAAAAAGTCTTCAAGATCCTTCAGTTGAACGTCCAATGGAGAATTTGTTAATCGAGCATCTATCAGCTGCAAAAAGTACCAAGTTGTATTTTTTAAACAGTAAGTCTATATAGACATTACATTTTTTTAACAATTTCACTTTATATGGTCTTTATGAATTATGCTATTATGATCCTTTGGCATTATGTTTTGGAATACTTCAGAACATTTTTCATGGATTCAATATATACTACACTTCCTCTCCAAACTTTTACATTGTATGTCATCATCAACATTAGCACTTGCAAGTGCATTAACTTACTTTTGAAAGTTGTAGTGCTTGATTGAAATAATTTGCTTCTTCTACTCGTCCATAACTTGTTAGATTAGGAGCAACTTCCTCCAAACGATGGCGAATTTCATTAAGGTTATCATATGGCAATCTGTGACCAACGATCTGAAATTGAAAGAACAAAATGTAAAAATATAAAAATTCAAAATCAAGAAGATACTTAAACATTTTAGAGTGATACTTTAGAAGATACTTGAAATTATTCAGAGGGATTCTCTGAATGATTTTATAACACAAAACTGCAATAGAAAACAATCATATCAACAAAATTAATATTCAAAAGTGTTCCCCAAATGAAAATTGACAATAAAAACTTATTGCCGGTTTGGATGGCCGAGATCGTCAAGGCAGCAGTGCCACACCGAAGGATTGTGGGCTTCAGTTCCACCTCTGACATGGTTGCATTTGTGTTCCATCCTTTCACCCCCTTTCATCACCATCTCATGTCATCTTCACAGTTACCATACCATTAGATGCAAGAGTGGTCGCTAATGATCTACATGTTGGTGCGACCTTAAATAACAACATATTTACATGAAATCGAACTACAATAGCAATTTAGCTTTAGAACTGTTGAAATGCTGAAAGAATTGTCGGGAATATTACAGTTAATAAGCTTAATTTGCTCAAAATATTTAGTGTTTTGTGTGATGTGCAAAACTTGTAATCTACAGAAGGTCATAAAATTTATTGTGTCACTCAAATTGCTTGAGCAGCATCCAGCAGTATCTCACCTCTGATAAAGCCCGGATAATCTTCCAGTCCTCTCTTGCTTGTCCAGGGGGAGTGACAGCTGTAATGGTTTGTTGGGCACGACCTTCTGTGTTCACATATGATGCCTGCTTCTCTGTGTAAGCTGCACCAGGCAGAATGCAGTCAGCCATTGCAGCTCCTGCGTCTCCGTGATGCCCTGAAAGGCAATGTATTCATTTCTTTCAAAAACAGTCTAACAACACATTATGGCACAAAAGAATGTTGAAACCAGGGCTTGATTTCTGGTGGAACATGATGAAATGACGTTCCGGTACCTCAGGAATAATTATTTAATTATAATATAAATATTTAACTATTTATAATATAAATATTTAACTATTTCTATTAAATTAATCACTAATTTGGGGCCCGTTCCGAAACCTTAAACTTTATAAATCAAGGCCTGTTTGTATTTATACGATCAAACGCACCTTGGTAGATGACAAACACATCCTTGGGAAGGTCATTCCGGGTGATGACACATTCGTCAGCCCCCAGGAGAAACAAAACCTTTGGAGGTTTCTGCCGCAGTTCGGCAACACCTGCACGGTATCCCAAATCCAGGGCTGCTACTTGTGAGGCTTGTTGCTGCAAAACATTGAGGACTTTCCAGTCGGCAGGAGTCTGCAACCAGAGAAAAAGCCTCGTTTACAACTGGAATAGGAGTAAGATCTCACTAGATCATACTCCTCATATTCTCATCATATCATATACAATCAGATAGATTTCTATAGAAAATAAGAGGCAACAAAAAGTTTATACAATGTATTATTTGTGAGGATTCATACATAAACAGTGATTTTTCTCTGTAACATTTCATCCCTAATAATTTCAAATGTAATAATCATAACTGCTCTCATTATTCTTTATTTTAGCAGCCAAAGCACAGACTGAAAACAAAACTAGTTGGATAATGGGTAGCTCTTCTGAGAATTCTGGCCATCTCACTCATGGCCAATAATTTAAATAAATAAATTGTGAAGGAAGGAATGATGTAAGGCTTAATTTAATGGTAGAAGACAAAGAAGAAGAAAAAGAAGAAACAAAACACATTATTTTCTTCTGTGTACTTTATAATGTTTTCCATACAATATTTTCATCTTTGTTATGTTAATTTTCTCCAGTTCCGACCAAAAGCCCATATATAGTTTTCCTCTTTATAGTATTTTCCTCTACACAGTGTTCACAATTCATGGGCCCTTGAATAACGCTTAACAGAGATTTCACTCTGTGAAAAAAAGAAGAATATCTTCAAAGGCAATGCACAAAAAACAACAACTACAACAACAATTAGTGGAGCAGTAACAGCACTACTTTTTCATATTATTTGTAAACTTAATATTGTAATAATAGTTGAACCCACAACAGTAATTTTTTATCAAAAGCAACCACTTATTGCTAAGGATTCTCTTATTTCTTCTATGACGACTATGAATTTAACCCTAAATCTAAAGCGGCGATCACACTGAAGCTAATTTTGATGGAAACTTCAGTCAGCCAATGTTGGACATTTTTGTCTGATATGCCCGTTTTGTTTAAACATGAGCTGGTAAATGGATAAAGGCATATTGATCCTGTATGACCTCTTCTGATGGTACCAAAAAAACATTGGCTATCAGATTGTTTCATTTGATTCTGTCGGTTCTATTTGACCGAAATCAGCTGGAGAGTCCGAACCATCTGTGATACAAAGGCTATCTGCAATACATGTAGATGGTCTTGAGTGTGCTTCTCGCAAGTGTTTCGAACAATGAACTGTGGAATAATGGAAATATTCAGATTTCACGTTTAGTTGCAACATTATGGTGTTTCTCGGATGAGATAAGTTGAACGGTTTCGCTTGTAGTCTTCCAATATCAAAAGACTGATATTTCGGCTGCATTGCTATCAAAATAAACACTTACTTTACATGAGGCAGTGAGACGTGCAGCAAGCTGCTGGGCCAGAGCCAAAATGCGTGCTCCATCTGGCCTCTGCAGCTGCTGAGCGCCCAGCACGATCAGGGGCTTCTTGGCACTGGCGAGGGTATTGAAAAACTCATGGCTGCCTGCAGCAAGTTGCTCCAGGACCTGAGGATCACTGCCCAAATGCTGTAAAACAAAACCTCTTTTGTGGAAAAAAGAAAGAGAGAGAGAGAGAGATGAGAGCACAACACTATTATCAATACAGCTCAGGGCACGGTGCTATTTTTGGGAGTTAGGTACAAACAGAATAAACTAAGTGAAACTGATTAGCATAATGAATGTAATTGTGATGACACTGTGATAATGTGACTGATGTAATTGTGATGAAAATTGTGATTGTAGTTCAATTACAACAATGAGGTGGCATTTTTCAATCCTCAAAGCCTCCATTTTAAAAATATGAAATTAAAATTTTGTTCAATCTTTAGTCATGTTATCACAGTTTCTCCAGCATTTTTATCTAACAAGGACCATGGTTTTCAAAGTACTATTAAAAATTTTAGAGGGATTTTACTTGAAAGTACAAGTTTGGGAAGTTACATACTAATTAATGAAAGTTCAAAATCATTCGGTATGATATTAAAAACTACGAGTCTTTGTCAACCAATTGGAGGATGGCCACCCTTTTCCTGTAACAAATTTTCCAACTTGTCCCAGTTTTCCAGTGCATCTTCCCGCAGATAAGATTCATATGGTATATTACAGAAATTAAAGCAAGGCTTGCATACCAGAAGCTAATTTTTCTGCTCTCTGATTTTCATATGAAAACAATCTCACTTACAATATTTAATAAAGACAAAAAATTGTGCCCCAAAAAACATATGAATGACTTCAAAAGTCCCATCTAGAAATTTCACAATTTTTCCAGATCAATGAAAATCCCTGACGTTTTTTAACTTTCAAGAAAAGAGCCACGCTGAATTTGCACAGAACCGAGACAACAATTATTCATCACCGCTTACCTTGTAGTCATAGGTGAGGTTTACACAGGGCCCGATGACAGCCAACTCCTGCTCTTTGTGCAAGTATGCCTTGCGGAGGCGAGCATTCACAAGGGGGGCCTCAAAGCGAGGGTTGGTGCCCACCAGGAGGACATAGTCTGCGTCCTCCAGCCCTGCAATGCGGTTGTTGAGAAGGTACGAGGAGCGCAGGTCTGTGCCTGCGCCTTCGTTGGGGAAGCCCTGCTCTGTGCACAGGGCCTCCGACCCCAAGCGATTGAGCAAGTCCTTCAATGCTACCAACGCCTGAGGCAGAGGAGTACGAGTGATGAATACTCAACAAGAAACTACAAGTGTCAATTTTATTTAATTGTAATTACATCAAAAGAATTCCAAATGACCTTGTATATAAATTCTGAAAAGTTCTGGAACCTTCAATCTCAAATCTCCCAAATACAATAACAACGACATCTAAGACGAACTTGGACAAGGCCTTACAAGAAGAAAACTAAGGAAGAATAATTGTCAAAGATGAATTTCAGGCTAGGTTCACTGTAATTATATTACATAGTATTTGTTTTACGTTCATAACTATAAAACTCATCAGCTTCCCCCAATTCTATTTGTTTAAGGTTGTAACTCGATGTTTTGTTTTTTTCCTTTCCCTTTTCCACATTAATGAGTTTAATGATCAAAAAAGTAATAACCTCAGCATCAGCTAAAGCACCAGCAACTGCTGCAATCTGATCTCCAGGAACACTGCACACTGCTTTTGCAACGCACCCCAAAGCGTCTTCCCACTCCACGGGAACTAGGTCTCCTTGAGGATTTTTCAACATGGGAGTTACAAGTCGCTGGCGTTTCAAACCATCATATGCGAACCGAGACTTATCTGACAGCCACTCTTCATTAACTTCCTATAAACAACAATTTCATTCAGTGCAATTCATACTGTTTTTGTTTATTTATATAATGATATAACAATCATCCAATTACAAGTCATATAAAAACATTCAGATAAGTAGAAGCGCTTCATATTAAAACATGTCATTGTAGAAGATCACAAGGTCTTGAAAGAAGAAAAAGAACACACACACACACACACATCTTACTATGAGACCATATGCTCTTACACGACAGCTAACATGTTAAAGAGTACATCCTCCAACTCAACAATTTCCTCAATACTCACATCATTAGTGCGAGGAAGGATCCTCAATACTTCTCCAGTGCGTGTTGTAACAACAATGTTGCTACCCACAGCATCCAGCACATCAACACTTTCAATCTTCCTTGTCTCCCAAGGACGAGCAGTGAAGGAATAAGGTTTCGAAGTGAGAGCTCCCACAGGACAAAGGTCAATTACGTTGCCTGACAACTCTGACAAGAAGAACTTCTCTACATATGTGCCCACCTACAGAGAACAGAACAGGATTAAATAATTAGCCCAACAGAAATGCAAAGCTAAGGAAATCAATTTGGTGGCAAAACTTAAGACAGAAGGATCACTTTTCCTAAGACAAATTTCCCCTGAGTTTTCCTGATTCTCGTAAATGCTTTTTAATACTTTTCCCAGAATAAATTGATGAGTATTTCATACGATTTAAAGAAAATATGATAAAAAAGATGGATCTAAAGCATTATGATAGTGACAAATACTACGATCCAAAACACATAGAAATTTTAATTATCTATTTGCCAGCAGTCAGATTTCACTGTGAAAGAAAATGTTTGCAAGATTTGCTTCATTTATAAAAATTGAAAATTGTACAAAAAATAACAAGAAATCTGTTTTTGAAAGAACAATACTTAGTTTTTTAATTGCCTCAAAAACATTCCTGAAATCTAATGGTTTTTCTAAAAATTATCCAACTATCCAGAAAGTAGCCTCACAGAAGGATAATGTTATTTTCTGAGAAAAAGTAATGACAATTTTTCCACCTTCAAAATAAAAATATTTATATAACATACATTTTCTCACCAATGATTGTATTAATTAAATCCTTAAATTACAAATTCCCCTAACTTGCTCACCTGCATGTCATTACCACGCCCTGTAGTGCCCAAATCATCAATTCCTGCAACTTCTGATGCAAATCTGATACATCGTGTACAGTGAATGCAGCGGGTCATGATGGTTTTGATTAGAGGTCCAATATCTTTATCTTCAACAGCCCTATAAAAAAACAAAACAAATAACTCTCACTATATTGCCGAATATATACTAACTTAATTGTAACAGGCAGAGATTTTATACAAAATTATTTGATTAAAGTTTAGTATACGGTACACCCTTAGAGAAATTTTGTGGTGGGGATGGTGGGAAGAGGGGGGAGGTTGAAGGGGAGGGGGAGAGGGGAGAAGGGGAGTCTCCTTTAGCCATTCCTCAAAATACGCTAAGAGCTCTGATAGAAATTAATAAAACTTACTGATTGGCGATTGTTACTGCTTGCACAGTTTGGAGGCGCCATCAAGGAACAACAAAAACCTCTCAGTTGGGTTTTTGCCCCCTTGAAGGTGTCTCCAAGCATATTCTGCCAGGTAGCTGTCAAACTGGCCAGCTGCGCGAACCATGACCCCTTCCGCACTGAATACTTTTGCACCTGAGCAGTGGCCCCTTTCTTGCTACACTTCCACTCGAAACCATCACACAACTCCTTTCGCTTGGCCAACCTCATTGGACACTTACACACAAGACACCTAAATCCTGTAGCAATCAAACCATGTTCTTGCGCCCATTCAGTAATAGCCAACCACCCCCTTTGGCGCAAAAAAAGCCACAGGACAATATATATATATATATATATATATATATATATATATATATATATATATATATATATATATATATATATATATATATATATATATATATACCCTAAACACCTTTCATCAGCTCCACCTTCCCCTTCGCCAGAGAGGCGCGAAGTGCTGATTTAAACGACTTGCTTAGGTTGTACCGTATACTAAATTTCAGCCAATTATTTAAATTAAGGTGAATACCATAATGTGAAAATTCAACAAAGGCTATGCAATACATTGGAATCAGCTTAAAACATTTGTATCTGTCATTTACATTCTACAATTATTTAGGATCAATGATCAGTTAACTTATTTTGCTACAAAAACTAATAAACTTCCATACCACACTTGATATGCCTAGCTTCCACTTTTCAAAAAATGAAATTACCATTTGCCTAAAGTTACATAACAATCACAGCAGTGTCAGCAGAATTTAAGTCACTCTCAAACAAATGAACTGATATACTTTATCAGCATTTTTAGAACTATTTTTTCAAAGTTGTCATTATTACTTTCTGCATCTAATTATCATGGGAACATCATCATCACCCGGTATCATAACTCTCAGGTTTTAGACAAACTTGAACCTATTCTGAATCTATCACAAACCTTCTATCACATATTATTGTGAAATATACAAAATCTATTATTATAAAATGTTTCAACTGGGTAGAAATTTAATTTAGTCACCAAACAACTAATCCATCACATACCTCTTGCCAGAGAAGTTTATATCTACAAATCGAGATCGATCAGAGCCGAAAGCCATACTTTGATCTTGAAGATCACATTCACCTCCTTGATCACAGATGGGGCAATCTAGTGGGTGATTAACAAGCAGGAATTCCATTACACCTTCTCTTGCTTTGCGAGTCATTTCTGAATCTGTTTTAATACGCCACCCCTTCATCACTGGCATCGCACATGCTGCTACAGGCTGCAGCAAAGAGAAATATTTAGCTATTTATAACCTAATTGCTTCTTATTTGCTTGAACAGTTTGAAGTATATTAATACACCATGAAACCTTACCTTTGGAACTTTTTCAACCTCTACTAAACACATTCTGCAGTTGCCTGCCACAGACAAACGCTCATGGTAACAGAATCTTGGAATTTCTACACCAACCATTGCAGCAGCCTAAAGAAAAGAACTTTCATTATGATAAAATATTCTTCACACAATATACACTTCATCAACCGAAAGTAATATGTAAACCTGAAGAACTGTAGTGCCTGGGTCCACAAGAACTGGCTTGTCATCGACAAAAACTTCAATTTTGTTGGATGCTTCAGAGGCTGCACCTCGGACACAGAGCTTCAGGGCTTTTGGCCCCAAGCCTCGAAAGAGCAACATTTTCAGCATATCCAAAACTAAAGTATTGGTAAAATTTAATTAGTTTCACATACTACATCCTGCGTCAGGAAGAAATATCTAGAACGATAATAAAAAAACGAGAATTGTGCCTATCCAGGATCGAAAAGAGGGCAGAGGCAACGAAACTTTAATGGATAATAAAATAAACTCTAAAGCATAATTGAAGCGATAAAACACTGCGCAACTTAAACAATCAAAATATGATCATCCATTCTCACCTACACTTCGACCTGATATAATATTTCTGGCAAAAATATGGACCCAGATTCTGCAGTAAAACTGCAATTGACCTTTCTCCGAGACCGGGCCGGGACCACAGCAAGGAAATTACAAGGCATTCCATCGATTGCGCACTTGGCTCAGTGTTTTTAAATGTAATAATAGAAAATTCCCTATTTAAGAAATAAATTAATATAAAAATTAAATAATAACTTATTTGCATGTTATCTGGCAATGAAAAATAAAGTTAAATTCCAACTTCAAGAAATCATACTCTTTGAAATTCCATACGCTTTCTCTATGGATCGAGTTGGCCCGTTTCCCAGCCTCCTCCGTTCTTCCTCTTTCAAGTAGCTCACAGCTGAGTAGGGTTATTGTCAGTTGTTCGAAAATAATTGTGAAATTGTACCTATAAACGCTCAATATGGTTGTTGGAGACTTAAAAACTGATCAGGGAATTAAGTCCCTAAACGAATACCTTGCGGATCGAAGCTATGTCTCAGGGTAATGTATAGAAATGGTTGATTTAAATAACCATAAACACGTGTCGTTTTCTTGAAGCATGATATATTGACAAGTTGTTTGTCTTAACTTATTAGTTGGAAAATTGATTTAAAACTAAAAATTTGCCCAAGAAGATGAAACAAAGTGCATTTACTTATTCACAGGTACGAACCTTCACAAGCTGATATAAGTGTCTTCGAAAGTATTTCCAAAGTGCCTAGTGCCAATACCCCTCATGTTTTACGCTGGTATAACCACATCAAATCTTTCGATGGAGCTGAGCGTAAGAAGCTTCCAGGTGAGAAGAAACTTCCTAGTGGTTTTACTGGCGGCTCAGCTGCTGTAGTGAATGGTGCACCTACCCCTGCCAAGGAAAGCAAGCCTGCCCCAGCTGCTGCCGAAGACGATGACGTTGATCTCTTTGGGTCCGACGAGGAGGATGTACGTTGTTCGTAACAGACTGTTCTAAATTTGAGAATGCATAGATTTAAAAATATTATACTATTTAACGTTTTGTAGGACACTGAAGCAGCTAAGATCCGTGAAGAGAGGTTGAAGGCTTACGCCGAGAAGAAGTCCAAGAAACCTGCCCTAATTGCCAAATCAAGTATTGTCCTTGACGTTAAGCCCTGGGATGATGAAACTAATATGAAGGAAATGGAACAGAAAGTCAGAACTATTGAGATGGATGGCCTTCTCTGGGGAGGATGTAAGATGTCGAAAAATTTCAGTTTCAATAACTCCAATGCACTTTAATGTGCATGGGAAATTTCATTGTTCTTTAATTTGTATTAACTTCATACATTTTTGTTTCAGCCAAACTGGTGCCAGTAGGATATGGTATCAACAAGCTGCAGATAATGTGTGTTGTTGAAGATGAAAAAGTATCTGTCGATCTGCTAACTGAACAAATCCAAGAATTCGAAGATTACGTTCAGTCCGTTGATATTGCTGCATTTAATAAAATTTAATTGATGCCATACTTACACCTGTTGTACCTACCTTTTTTGCTTATGTATTAAAAAATAATTTTCAGTAAGTCTGATTTTCATTTTGAAAGTAATCTACAATGAAACACATTTTCTAACTTTTCCATTCCCCTCTTTTTCAAATTTGTGTATTTTAGATAATCTAAATTATTATGCAAACGTATTTATTAATGTGTCTTCTGTGGGGGGGAGATGAAGTATAATTATTTGACATTATTATTTTATTTGAATAAAAAGTCTAATTTATTGTAGAATTTTTAAGGTTTTTGTAAAAACAGATTAATTTGCATATCTAAAAAATCCCTCTGTTTCCAATTTTCTGGTGAATGTTTCCAGCTAAGTATGCAATCTTCAAAATTAGTTGAGCTCCACTATGCAAGAATACAGTGAAAGATTTTAGTGAGACCTTTTCTGATTCTAACTACATAATGCACATTCAAGTCAATTATCAAAATGTCTTATTTATTTTTACTTGGTGTCCCAAAAATGGAAGTCTCCTGTCCAACGAACTTTTACGAATTATAATTTTAAAGGTGTTAAATATATTTAAGGAGTATATTTGTGATGTAAGGATTTATTTTAACATTTGTTCATGGAAGATTCATTGATATCTAAGTCGAAAACAAGAGGCTGATTTTGAAATGATGCGTTTGAAGGGAACATAAGATCACTAGTGTATTGTTCAAGTAAACACTTATAAAAAAAATTCTTAAAATTTAGCCCACTATGCTAATGTATATGTAATGTTTGTTACTTAAATTACTGGCCAAAAGTTATGCTTTTGGATTCTGAAATATGGAATGTGTAAGGTTGGGTAAGAGGGTAAGGTTGAACAAAACACAACTGTTTTTTCAAGGAAAATTCTTCTAAACAAAATTCCCTATAGTTATTCCAACTTTTCCCCCTAATTAAAAGTATTAAAATAAATATTTTGAAAAAAATTAATTATACATGCTGTAAGTCACCATTGAACCACAAATATTTTTTCAGCTTCCCTCAATAATAAAGGACAGGGTGACCAAAGATCAGATAGGATACCGTAGGTGGATAATAGAAGAATAATGAATTCCAAAATAACCTTTCTTTTGTTTTTTGGATCACCATAGCTTGTGACTAGATCAATCTATAATGGTTGGAGGCATCCTGCAGCCCACAACAGCAGGGGGAACCAACTACATACCTGGGTTCCCCTTTTTTTGACTTCTTCTTTTGTAAATATATTTTATTAACAGATATATAAAACAATTTCAAGAAGAATGAAATTATTCATTAAGATATAAGTGATTATATGATAAACCAGTTATGTAGTTGCCAGATGTCTCGAAGAGTCTGTTCCTGAATCATCAGTTTCAAACAGTAAAATAAAGGAATTGATCAGATTTCAAGAAAGAAAATGTTTTATCATGTAAGGCTGTGGTGTCCCTTTCAAACTTTAGGTTGGGCCATGCCCCTCCAACATCCCATGCATATGTTAATGGTTAAAGATTATTTTAACAACATGAACGTTGAGCAACTATCAAGAGAATTCCATTCAGCACTGGAGGCAAGAATATAATGAGCTAAGAAGGCCAAAATGATAAAGACAAAGATATGTACAATACAGAATTCCAGTAATATCACAAGACACACAATAAATTTTACTGATGAAAACATGATTCCATGATCTGTCAGGATGAATTTGTACTGCAGAATACTTGATGTTTCAGTATAATTAAGACACATACTACGTTCTATTAATTCTTAAGATCACATCTCTAGCCAGAGGGTAGTTATTTTATTACTGTTTCAATAATTTAGAATGTTTGGGACTACTTTGTCGAATCTTTAAAATACGCAATAAGATCATCTCGAACTTGAGGTTTCTGAAGCCGGCAAAGACCATCTTGGTGCCAGGGATATGTTTCTTTGGGTTTTCAAGATAGATGAACAATGTTTCCTCATTCCATGTGATATCTTTCCTCTTGTTGGTATCCATACGGTTGAAGGCAGCAGCTTGACCAGTCTTACAACTGAAAATACTATGGAGATAAGGTTCACTTTTGTGCTTACCACCCAATTGTACAGTGTAGCATTGTGCACGTTTGGATGAAAATTCTTTAGCCCTTCTCCACATCACCAGTAGGTGCACCCATTGCATCTACTTAGGAATTGACTAACAAGTACGGCTTCAATCTTCCTTGTGGCTCTTTCCTTAGTGAAGGTCAGTATAGTCAATTTTATTTAACGTATATAGAGAAAATGTCATTCAAGAAGTGTAATTGAACAAAATATAAGTCAGTATAAGAACCGGATAGACCTAATAAAAACTATTCATTAAGCAGATGATTGAACAGTAATGGTAGGAAACTGTAAAACCCTAGAACAGCTATTACAGAGAGTGGTAGAAGAAAGCCAGACATCAGAAGTCAAGCTGAACTTGAGAAAGTCCATTGTGATCATAATAGGTCAGGAAGAAAGAAAACAGTTAAACGAAAAAGAAAAAAACAACAACAACAAAGTAAAGCTTCTGGGAGCAATAATGACAAAAACGGACTCTTCAATGAAGAAAAAGAGTTATTATTTTTGGAAATGCAGCCATGGCACAGTATAATAAATTCGTCAATGACAAGTTATCAATTAAGACCAAAATAAAAGTTAATACAAGTGATATTTCCTCTCATCTTATACGGTTCTGTGTGGTGGATTCTAACAACTATGGATTAACAAACAATAGATGGGCCTTTGGAAATTACTGAAGACACAAGAATATCTATATTAGTAGAGGTGAAGCCTGATTGCATTACTACCACCACAATAATGAAATGCAGTTCAAAAATATAAACACTTTATTGTTGCAGAGATACAATGTAATACACAGAAATAGTTGTATAACTATGGAGATGAAGGTCTCAGTCGTTTTTTTGCATTAATAAGGCATTTTTCTTGATGTACATGTGCCTTGGCACGTTGTTTCTCACCAACCATTACAGCAGTAGGACTGAACACTCTAGTTTCCAATTCCTAAAAAGATAGAATAATTTTCCATATATACTAATATATCAATTGTCATACACAACTTTTAACAAAACCAATTGCCAATAAATGCAATTATTAATTAAATAAGAGAAAAGTAAGGGATAAAAAGGGGAAAAAGTGACACAAAAGAATGCTCAAAGGAAAAATTTGAAATACTGATTTCACAATTAGATTTCAATAATAATATAAATTTTTGATTTAATATATTATTAACATCATCATTATCATCTTCAAATATTCCATTTCATTTCTTTTTAGAAAATCTAGAAAAGCTTAAAGAAACATTTCAGTTTCATCAGACAATGGAATAATTTAGAAGAAAGAAAAGGAAAATCTTTCTAATGATGATCAGTCTAAAGAAGTTTTGACTGTCATTATTGATGACGACTAAAATAAGTAATGTTACATTGAAATGTGGAATTGTACATACAGTTGATGAAAACTCAGAAATGTAATGATTCTTTTAAAAAAGATCAACTAAATATCTTAAGAGTTTGTTCATAACATTGTACTTTCTAAAAGGACAAAAGGTATACTAGTTATCTTTATTGAATAATATATCTTTCACAGCTTAAGAAACTGGGCATTATTATATATGTGGGTCAGCTTCTGTCTAATATTGAGTGTGCATAAGTGAAAACCTTTCTTTCAAAAGTTTCAGTACTTCTAGCCAGCTGTGATACAGCATTTTTATGTAAAATAAGAGTCAACTAGTTTTAAATTACAGTGAAATAATTACAATTCTTCCTACTACAAGTATGAAATGAGATATTCTAAAGTACTTTTTCTCAATAAAACTATTAATATGTTCCCAAGAGTATTTGACATCAGATAATGGTTACTGTTTTGTTACTGTGATAAATATTTCAACTGAACAACTCAGTTTTCGTATTTGAATTGACTAGTGTAGACAAATTATTAAAAACCTCAGCTGCTCAATATAACTCACCTGTGGGGCAAGATAATAGTCAATATGATGGCGAACAGCCACCCATATATGATCTTGCCGTAGAAGTTCTGTTACAGCCTCTATGTCTGGGGCCATGTAACGATCTTTGTCCCAAGGCCTATAAATTAAATTAGAAGATACAATCAGTAAAAGTAAAATGAAGATGCACGAAGATTCAAGACAAGTTAATTCCATACCAACGCACCTCACACGGCTACGCACTACTTTGTACACTTCTTCCAATGGAAGGGTTGTCTTAAGTGGCCTGAGGAACTCAATTGCTTGGCAAGCAGCCAACAATTCAATGGCAATTACCCTTTCCACATTTTCAACCACCTGCAGGGCTTTACGAGCTGCAAAACACCCCATTGATACATGATCTTCTTGTGCTGCGCTAGTGCTGAGAGAATCAACAGACGCTGGGTGGCACAGTGCTTTGTTTTCTGACACTGAAAAAAATTTCAAGCTTCTATTACTTAACTGCTCAATATCCTCCTGTTATCAATTATGATAAGTCAAATAATCCTAAATGGATTCTTCTATTATTAATGTTTCTCAGATTTTTACAATTATTTAATTTGAAAGATTGTACTACATAGGTTGCAGACTCTATCATGTATTTTAGTAGATATAAAATGATTGAGGGTTGGCCTTAGCAAATGTGCTGTTTACACTGATTAGTTTCTCAAAGACTGACAATTAAAAAATACTATTGGTAGGAGTTCAACAAGGGATTTTCTGGAAATCAATACAGTTTTTGTTGGATGCATTGAAACATAATTCCTAATTTCTTAGAAAAGTGCCAAATATTTTAATTCTTGTCCATTTATTTTAATTGTTTAAAATGAATTTATTCGTCCATTGTTTGTTTTGTACATCATAGGTCTGCAACTGTAATACTTATTTTGATTTCTTCTAATATAACAATGTCGTTGCTGTCATAGTTGTAAGCTCAAATACAATACAATAAACAAGGCATATTTACCTAAAGCAGCTGCAGTGCAATGAGCCAACATAAAGCCCGAGTTAAGTCCACCATCCTTCACAAGAAAAGCTGGCAGCTCACTTAAAGCTGAAAAAGTGGCAAAATCACTTCAGTCGACCATCACATCTCATATTTTTTTATGTTAATTACAACTTTATTGACTTACTACTTCATTATCATCTCCAAATATATATTTTGCAAAATTAATATTTCTTCTAAATAAAAACAAGTCTCCTCTAAAATGAAAGTCATCTATTGTAATAAAAGTCTCATAATTTTTTAATAGCATTTCTGGTAACAAGATGTAACTGTGTTTTTAGGGGACAAAAATTATCTTTCAAGCAGTGAAGGTGTAATTATTAATGTAATTTTCTAAGTTACAATAAAAGGTTGGCACAGGTATCCTTTATTATTTTGAGACAATAACATTTCATATTTTTCCATGAACACAATGTTTTGCATAAATGTTACATGCATCTTTAAGTAGATAAAAATGGCATAATAATTTTTTAAAAAAACAAACTTTTTTACTAATAATTTTACCAAAAAATTGTATTGCAATCCAGGCTTGGGTATAATTTTGTTTTACAAATGATGATGCATATGACAATTATGGAAAACCTTGTTTTACATATTCTCATGGAAAAATAAAACTATCTTCTGGAAAGACCATGAACTCTGATTGTCTCAAAATAATAAAGGATACATAAGTCAACTTTTGATTAAAAGTCTTCTTTTGAAAACCACGCAAGTGCATTTCTACATATCAGAAGAATGCTATTATTAGTCACAATAATTAATACTCTTGAAACAAATATTTTTTTATAAAAATGGTTCACAAATACCTGGGTTTACAAGTCGTTCAATCCTCCTCTCACTCATTGAAGCAAGTTCATGCACAGCAATTGCCAGATAGTCCAACACCTTTGCAGGATATTCACCATGAAAATTACCAGCAGAAATGATTTCTCCTCTGTCCGCAAATACAATCTGTCTTTGCTAAAGAACTTACTTTTAAATGTGAAGTGTTATTGCATACAAATTTCGTATGTGCATAATTTGTTCCAGCTGGAATACCCGAAACAATTTGAACAAAACTTGGTTAACATGTTATTTACAGTTGTGAAGGTGAGGGGAAGTCACATACCCAGCAAACCTAGTGGTGGAAAAGGATGAGGGACATTCGCAATGCATTTACATGGGCACAGTAGGACAGTGTAATAGATAGCTACTTGGCTGTTCGGGAGGTGCGAATTGCATTTTGTTCTGAGTAAGGTTGCAGAATGACTGCCGAAATGTTGGCACCTCCCGGATAGCCAAGTAGCTACTGACTCTGGCCGCGGAAGCCTATGCTCTCGGTTTATTAATAATTTATCGGTTAAATTTATTTAATAAAAGATGTGAAATCATGCAGAATGTGCATGGACAAGATGGAAGCATTGGTTGCGCGTGAAATGATAAGAAATGAAGTCTTGGCCGGGAATGTACAGAAGATGGAAGCATAGGACATTTTGAGAAATTTATATAAACCAAGTTGCCAAAACACTTTCCATTTACTTACTAACATGCACTTGCCTTTTATTATGACTACTTTTCTTTGGAACTGCAGAATACCAATCAAGAGAAAGCAAAAATAATAAGTTTAATGTTTTACAATAAACATTAGAGAAAGATTAAAGAAAATTATTTTTTATAATTATTACTTTCTTGAAATATATTCATAAAGCGTTTATTATGGCAAAATTTAAAAAAAAAGTTTTGATATATAATGTTGCTGAATCTATCTCTAAGAAATAATTAATTTTCAATGCGATGTAATAAAAATTTACAAAAGGATACAGGGTTATCAGTTCCACTGTTCATTTCAACTGTTATGACCTCTTGAACAAAGTCAATTGTGTCGTGTACTACACCATGCACTTGTGGACAACATCTCAAAGTATATGCATCCTGCACTCGATTGCAAAAGCGGTGACTCTCTAAATAAAAGACACATAGAGAGAAATCAAATTAAATTAAACAATAGGCTCAGTGAATTGTTCAAAAAGTTTCACAGAAAGCATTGAAACAAAGATAAATGCAACACAGGAACTTACGAGGCTATTACTGGTTTCAATGCTTTCTATGAAACTTTGAACAAACTTATTTCACAAGAATGAAAAAACTATACATTTTTATAAAAAAACAAACAAACACAGTATAATTTACTTCAATTTTATAGTTTCTATAGCCTTCATTCCCATTCATCTTCATTCCCAGTCATGTCAAAAAGGAAACAAAATTATCTTAATGTTTTGCATATTTAACCAAATTTTCCCCAATGACAATTTTTCATTACTTTATTGATTATATATTGATTTGATATTATATCATGATTTTTCATGACTCTATTGTTTGTGGAATTGTTGATAAAAACATCCTAACAAATGTTTAACCTTTTGATCTTTTCTGGACTAAGAAGAAAGTTTGAGAAGTAAAAAATATCAAAATGAAATATAAAGCTATGTACTCTGACATTAAATTCAAACAGAACCTCATTAAAAAATGAAATGATCTGATATTTTCAATAGATTACAAAAACCTCTGACAATCACTACTAAACAAACCCACCTGCAATCTGTGATGGGTAGAACTCCGAGTGCAGGAGAGCTCTCAAAGTCCGCGCTACAGCAATTTGCCCTTTGTGGGGTCGAATGAGCTGCACATCAGAGTCAAATGCACGAGATGTCCCTTTGAGGACCTCCAAAGTAAGAGCAGCGGTGACGTCAGCCTGACGGGCTATATAGTATGCCCTCTCCACAGCTTCTGCACCCAAGGATGTGATAAGCTGTGTTCCATTTATTAGAGCAATTCCTTCTTTAGGCCCCAATTCCATTGGCTGCAGTCCATTAACAGCTAAAACCTGTTCACCAAAAATAGTTTGCTTCAAATAGTAGACTTTCGACATTTACCCAAAAGTTGAAGAATAATTATTTGGTGTTTGATACAAAGTGAGTAAGTCAAGAATCCTAAGAATTTTACTGGTAAAAAACATTTGTGATTAGCACACTTGTTGGTTTTTTGCACCTCTTACCCATGATGATGGAATTACGCATTCTCTGTTGTTGGCACATTTCCATATACTTCAATTAGTCTTATCTTCCCTACAATTCACTGAATTTTGTAATTATCATTATTAGCAAATTGTACTTCCCCCATATTTATCATATCTGTCACATACTTTTTAACTAAATAAATAAATTTTCAGTATAGGATACTCTAAGGGAACTGAATTTGCCTCATTATCATTACACTCATGAGGTTGTTAACTTCTTTCCATTGTATCTTAAAAGACCCAAGAACATAACACCCCTCTGACAATGTTGAGCCTAGACTTTGATTTAACTCCAAAATATTATAGCATTTGAATAGCTAAAATTAGCCACATCGGGTCTAGCTGAATATTTCAAATGAGCAACCAGACAAACCCTTTGCATGAATGAATAAAGAGATATTTCACAGCAGTTTGAATGATAGATTAGCACTAAGCACCCACATGCACTTTATTTCACACCATTTAATGTGTTTCTATCAAAACTCAAAAAATCTCAACAGGTCTTGAACCAACTAGATCCAAAAAACAGACTACCACCATACTCCTATACTCCTCCTCTTACCTCTTTTGCATTGGCCCATCCTGTGGCAGGGCTCCACATTTTGCCTTCTCCAAGCAGGCCGAGGGCAAGGTGGGCGAGTGGAGCCAGGTCACCAGAGGCACCAACTGACCCTTGGACTGGTACCCAGGACAAGCATGAATCTGGAAACAACATTACCAAAAACATCATCATGAACAAATTGGGGGCTGTAGGTGTACCCTGACCCTTGTGCCATAAGAATGCGGGGTTATTCCACCAGGTGTTCCTAATGTCTCCATCTCTTCTTTTATCTTCCTTGCTCTCTTCTGCCTATAGGTTGGTACGCTAGGTTTGGTGGTGCGTTATCTTCCATTTCTTCCATGTGTTTCAAACATTTCCTTTGATATTCCTTTATACCATCACATATTCCTTCATTTCTAGCCTCATGAAGTACTCATCAGAGTTGCTTTTAATTTTTGCAGGTTTCTAGTTATCAGGATTCAGGTTTCTGATCCAATGCTGCCATTGCTGTTCTGTATATTCTCCGGTTTGTCTCTGTGTTCTTATTCATTCCAAAGCCTTTCATTATTGTCCTATTTATTCAGGTCATTCCATTTTAAATAGTTCCGAACTCAATAAATTGGTTGCTCAAAGCTAATTTTTTTTAAAAATTATTGTACATGGTTCACAAATGTTAGTCATTTTTATTTCAAGATGAGTACCATTTTTCACATTTGTAGACATTAACAATTTTTTAAATTACAAGGCACTAAATTGTTGTAACTTTTTATATTACAATGCATTATATTCAGTAAATACGTACAGAGAAAATCTAAGGTATATTACCAACCTAATATATGTTTCAAATCAAATTATCAAATGCAAATGAACAAAGTATTTCCAGAGAGTAATTTTTTAAAGAAGGCATAAAATCACAGCTTTAATGGAAATCGTACAAGTAAAAGATTACTATGATACCAAACTATAGTATACATGTCAACTTTGAGACTCATCTCAAAGTAGCTTTAAAAAATTTGTAAATATACTTGAAAGATCATTTGTTTTCCCATTTAGGAGAAACGGTGAACTGAAACCTGCTATAAAATAATTGAAAACACTTTATTATAAACTCAAAATCGCCTAACATATAATTCTGAATATTTCTTTAATGCCATTCAAAAAAACATATAAGTAAATGAAAATAAGGCCATCTTGACATCCAATCTGTTAAATTTAAATAGTGTTAGAAAATTAAGTTTAAATACAACATACTTCAAAATCGTTAAAAAACAAACAAATTTATATTTTTAACTGCATTGGTGCAGCTTTCAAACATCTTTAAAGCATTTTTCAGGGTTTTTGATAAGAATATAAATCAATGAAAGGCTACATCACCTTTAATTTTCTGACCAGTATCTTTTCTCTAAGATTTTTGAATTTCCTGTGTTTATAAAGATTTACTAAGTAATTCCTTTAATTCTTTCTTTGCAGAATGCAAACATGCAATGGGGTGTCCAATTATTTCTATGACATGATGCAGGAAAGAAAAAAAAGAAAGAAGGAGAAGAAGAAAGAGAAAGAGGAGAAGAAGAAGGAGGAGGAGAAGGAGAGGGAGAAGGAAAAGAAGAAGGAGAGGGAGAGGGAAAAGAAGAAGGAGAGGGAGAGGGAAAAGGAAAAGGAGAAGAAGAAAGGGGCCATATACAGACCATAATGTTAATTCGTATTTTACTTTGTTATGTAAATATGTTTTAAATTTGAAGCCTGTTACTAAATCAAAAATGTATTTTGATTATTGTATGATTTGTTCATCTAATCATAGATAATTTTTTTTCTATGACAATGATATCCTAGACTCTTTAAAGACAAAAAAACCTCAAGTATTTTTTTAACACAACATTTTGTGACATAATGTGGCCGGATCATCACGTAGTCTGAGGTAATGATAGAAAAACACACATATTAAGAACTGACAAACAGGATAGTGAAGTAAAAACCAATGGAAAGGTCTCAAAACGAGCCTTGTCTAAGATCGATCATGACCATTGAAACTTCGGAAGACTGCTATTCAATTCATTGTTTTCTTTGCATTCAGTGCTAATCTTTGTGCATTGAAGTTGCATTCTTGTGACCTTACCGATTTATTAAAGAACTTTTCTTACTGAGACCATAGAAATCAAACATTAATCTTAATTATCTAAAAAAAGTTCAGAAACCCTATCAGCTTCCTATTCAATCTCTTTTGTGTTAGTTATATGTGGAATTCCTTTTAAGGAATCATCTCCACTTCTTTAATTTTAACATTCACTTCCCACAATATTGACTTCTGGATCTGTCTTTTCTTTGTTCTTCCAGTTTTGCAGCCTCAAAATTCACCTAATTGCCTTCCTTCCCATTCATATCCTGATTCATAATTGAAATTCCTGAGATTTGAGATAAAATGCAAGTCACATTATTTTCTAGTAACAAGTCCACAAGGATGCAGAACTTGAATTGATTAACCCCATACACATTCGACAGAGACTGTTGTGGGATAATTGGAGATTTGTACTTACCCACATACTACAATGACACAAGGAATTCCCAATTCTTATATTTCTCATCGTCAAACACACTCTTTTTAGTGAACTACAGGAAGATGCCCCAACAATTGAAAACACAATCTTCTTCTGATCCATGGTATTAAAATTTAGCCCCATAAGTCAATTGGTGTTCTTTTCGTTTAAAATAATGACCGCTTACTTAATAAACAGTTCTGAACAACACTCAACAAGCTAACTAAATAGCTATGAAGACTTTTATTATCTAAACAATGGTTGTTGGGAAAAAGATAAGGAGAAATTTGACACAACTTCTTGGAAACCTAATTCAAATAGAACCTTTGCAGATTCCATGTAAATGAAATAAACTGGAAGTTAGAGGGTCAAGAATTTTACAAAAAGTTTGACTTATGCCACGATTCTTTTTCTTAACTTGCGATAACTTTTGATAGTTTTCTTAACTTGTGATTTGTGTATTCATTGAATGTAAATATTTGTAGTTACTCTGGCAAAGTCACAATGCCCATATGCTTAATGTTCACTTACTGTTAAAGGCATTTATGAGGTGTCGAAGAGTCTTCAAGGAAATTCCACTGTAACCTTTTGCAAGCACATTTATTCGCAGAGCCAACAGCATTCGGGTCTTCTCAACACTCAGAGGTTCTCCTACTCCTGCTGCGTGGGAGCGAATCAAATTGTACTGCAATTCTCTGAAATGGAGTAAAACCACAGAGTATTTCACAGCACATGTTACAAACATCTAGGGCATGTAGAGGATTTGAATGTCTTTTTGCCAAATAACATGTAGTGGGAAATTTAACATAATGGAGTTACAAATTTGACATTTTGTTATGGTTTTTGGGCAACTCATGCACAAATGAATGGCAGGTCATATTCTGATGTGGTCAAGGAGATTTCATGCACCTGCCTAACCTCTTTGCATAAGGGGTTGCTTGTTAATCAAGACCGAATGTACACTGTTGGTCAAACGTTTTTGGATGCTGCTAATAATTTCAAACTTGTCGCAAAAATAGATTGAGAGAGTAGTAATACACATACACAGGGCATTGACTATTATATTACACACAAATCTTATGCAAAAAATATGTTTATTTAGAAATAAACTCAAACATTTGAATTTAAAAAAGTTAAATTTGTTAAACTGGCTTTTCATAAAAAAAAAAAAGCCTTCTTGTGCCTGAATAACTTTCATGATTCGTGGCACCTTAATCATGAGTTTCTCACAAACAATAACAGCTTCAATGAATTATTTTCCAAAACCTGTATTTTTCAATTCTGTTCCACTATGAACCAGAAATCGTGGTGTACATACAGTCCCACTGTGGATTTCCCACATACCTCACACTTAGCATCAATGAATACTCTTGTGTGGGGATATAATGTTTATCTACACAAAATAAATTGAGGCAGAAACCTTACTTCAGTGCCCTGGGTTTGGGTTGCACCAGCAAGGTTGTATACAATGCGCCATGACCAAAAACTTTTCACCGGCAGTGGCTTTATGATCATTGGCAAAAAGTGATTGTTTTCAACTCCTCTATGTGCCCTAGGCATTTGTACCATTTATAAGTCTGTTTTTTAAGTGCCAATGTTTCATTGTAAATATATGTGGAGAATCGTGGGGTAGATCAATAAGTCTGTTGTTTAACAGTGCCAATGTTTCAGCCATTTATTTGGCCTTCTTCAAGGCTGTAGTTATATGTATATTAATTGATATAATTATACATTTTAGATATAAATTTATATAATTTTGATGCTCTCACAAACTACAGCCCTGAAGCAGATAGATAAATGGCCAAAATGTTGGTACTCTACAAAAATAGAATTTTATTAACCTACCCTCACGATTCTCCACATACACTTACAAGGTAAAAATCAACATTATATTTTATAACATTTATTTCAAGACACCTGCATATGTAATTACAATTAATCTATAACTCATGAACGTGATTTTTTCATCAGTAAAAGATATATTATACACAAAAGAGTATTAACAAATATGCAAATAATTCTCCACATTATATTCACACCCCATATTGTTAATACAAATCTTAGTACCCTTAAAAGCTGTTCCATATGTAATCCAAAAAATTATAACAGCAAAAACAATTGTGCCTGTTAGGTGGAAATAAGCCTTGCAACTTCTTAGAATATTTAAATGTACTCACTCTAGCTGGTCAGAATCAATTACAGTGCGAGCAAAATTTCCAAATCCTGTGGTAATTCCATACACCACTACAAAAAGAATACACACACTCAGCAATAAATTATTATAACACTAAGCTCAAATAAAAATTCTAGTGAAATTATAAATAAATTTTAACACCTACCTTTCTTTTCTTGCAATATTTTCTCAATTAATTCTCTGGCCTTTGTTACATTTATTTCTGCTTCAGCTGTCAACTGAAATAAGGAAGATTGCAATTGCATGAAACTACATTAAAAAAGATTTGATTAGTTTTCATTTAAATTGTTTGATTGAATTTACAATACCTTAATGCGATACAATCCTTTTCCTAGCAACATAAGATCATTGGTGGACAATGAAGCCCCGTCTAAATATAGGTACTGTAAACAAAAATGTTGACTCAGAATGTTGTACTCAGAGAATAAAATCCTTTAAAAAGGAAACTAATCATAAATATAGATTAAAAATCATATAAGTTAAAACATTCACACTTTGTTAGAAACAAAAGAATAGAATTAACATTGCTATAATAGTAAAATGGTTAAAAACACCCCAAAGGAAAAGAAAATAACAAAAAAATGGTACAGACTATAGGCAATTTTGGGTTATTTTCCTTCAACAATGCTGACAATTTTTACTTCAAAATTAATCACTCTATCAACCTTACACAATAATGTAATTTATTTTGTATTGGAATCTCTAAAACTTCAATTTTGTTATTAAAATAAATATTGAAAGTGAAATATCTGCAAAATGGTTTATAGAAATCATACATACCTCCTCTGCAGGTTTGTGGTTTATATCTCTATGTCATGTTAAGGAAATTTATAAAAGCATTAAATGGGTACACCATAATTTTTATAAAATAAATCATATCTGATGTAAAGGATACTTAATTTCATTCCCAAACTTCAAGTCTTCCAAACTTTGAGGTTTTGGTGGTTTATCGGAGGATGTTACTACAAAAAAGTGAAACTGCAATTAATTATAACTGACTTGTATAAACCTGTCGTAGAAAAAAAATTTGCTACAATTAATGAAATATAAAAATGATACATTTTCTAATGTGTATTCATTAATTAACTGTTAAATAAGGAAAGGTCTACCAATTGTTGGGAAAAAGGGTCTGATTAATCCCATGATGGATAATGGATGTTTTTTGCATTCTTTGGTATTGTACAAGAAAGAACTGAATGTTTCCCAAAGATCAACTTCATTCACTGAATATGTGAGCATTTCAATAATGAAGTAATGTTTTAATAGTCCTTTTAGTTCATTTAATCTCAATAACAAAAACTGAAAAATAAACTCACTGATATAGAAATATTACTTGAGGAGAAACTCAACCACATTTGAGTATTGTGCTTCACAGAACACTGGCTAACTGAAGAACAATTAGATAACAAATATATACCATGTTTCTCTCTAGCCAGCAGCAATATTAACAACGCACATCATGCATATGGTGGGACATGCATTTCTATTAAAGATACAATTAGTTTTGTACCCTAAACCAATCACACTCATCTTGTAAAAGAGAAAGACTTTGAAATATCCATCACCGACTTAACAACAATAAAAACATCTTCTTATGCATGTATCGCAGCCCTGCTGGGAATTTAAAAATCTTTTTAAAAAATCTGTTAGTTATTCTAACAAAACTTCAAAAACACAGACAGTATAAAATTATTCTTTGCGGTGACTTCAATATAAATTGCCTCACAAAATCCAGTAATGAAAATCTATTTAAACATCTACTAAAATCATACAATTTACAAACAACCATAAATACACCAACACAAATATCCAAAAATAGTAGCACTGCTATACATCAAATAATAATTGATGCAAATAACCATTGTTTTTCTGCTACATTTAATACAGGTTTCAATGACCATACTGCCCAGATTTCTACACTTCAAACAGAAACATAAAAAACTGAGGAACGGACAACTTACAAAGGAATTTGTAACTATTCCCAAGGAAACATAATAAAATTCCAAAACTTACTCAGATTCGAAAACTGGAATGAAGTATATAAGGCAACTGATACAAATGATAAGTTTAATTCATTCATAAATATATACTAATAAGACATTTCAATGCCATTTTTCCTCAAAAACTCAAAAAGATCCAAAATAAGAAAACTAAATCATGGATTATCACAGGCATCAAAGTGTCATGTGGAAGAAAACGCAACATGTATAAAATACTAACAAATAACAAATGTAACTCAAACTGCATTTCATATTACAAAACATAATTTGATCCTAAAAAAAGTAATCAAACAAGCAAAAATTATGACAAATGATAAGTACATTGCAAATGCACGTAATAAAACAAAAGCTATGTGCGACATTATTATTAAGACTACAGCACCAACTAATAACAACAGAAAAAATATAGAGCTCCACTACAAAAACCAAGCTGTACAAGACCCGCATGAAATAGCTGATATATTCAATGAACACGTTTCACAAATTAGTAATAAGTTAATCTCTCAACTCTCTCTAAACAATGAAACACACCAACCAAACACTAATATTACACAAATTGTAAATTTCATATTTTTATATAAAATCACCTCCTCTGAAATTTTTACAATCATTGAACAAATGGAGAATAAATTCTCAGCAGGCATGGACAACATTCCAGATTTTCTTATTAAACAGAGTGCTCCATGTATAGTGCAACCACTCTCTCACATCTGCAATTACTCTCTAAAATAAGGCATATTCTCAGATATATTCAAAACAGCAAAAATTAAACTATTGTTTAAAAAGGGCAATAGTTATGATCAAATGAACTACAGACCTATCTCCCTGTTATCAGGATTTTCAAAGATAGACTCAAACAGTTTCTCAATGAAAATAATGTCCTTACAAATGCACAACATGGCTTCAGGAGTTATAGATCACAGACATAGCCATCTTCTCCTTTTTAAATGACATACTTTTTGCACTAAATCAGAAGGCATTTCCCATTGACCTTTTATTAGATTTGCCAAAAGCCTTTGACATCATTGACCATCACATACTTTTAAGAAGAAAAAAAAGAAATGCTAAGAATTCGAGGCATTGCAGACCAATGGATCCAATCATATTTATCAAACCATAGCAAAATAGTTGTCCTCCAGCATACTAAAGAAAACAAAATCTCCTCATACTACTTCTGTCCTCAAATAATAAATTGTGGAGTCCCACAAGGATCCATCCTTGGGCCAATACTATTCCTTATATACATAAATGACATGCCTTTGGCTTTAAGGAACGACAAAATAATTTTGTTTGCAGATGACACAAACATAATCATCACAGCAAAAACACAAAATCATTAGAAAAAGAAACTCACAAAACTTTGCAAGCACTAGAAAAATGGTTTCAAGACAACAAACTCATCATAAATACCAGCAAGACATCTCTCTAAATTTCGTAAATCCCCGATCTAAAGAAAAACTCTCAAAGCATTTGCTCATAAACAATAACCCTGTAACGCTATCTCATGAAACTACTTTCCTCGGACTAACAATTCAAGAAAACCTAAAATGGAATGCTCACATCTCAAATCTTAACAAGAAGTTCAGCAAATCTTGCTATGCCCTATACACCCTCAGGTCAAGCTCCAACATTGAGACACTTCGAACAATGTATTTTGCAAATGTGCACTCACACCTAAAATATGGAATAATATTCTGGGGAAATGCCCCTGAAAGTAATCGCACATTTATTATCCAAAAAAGAATATTGCGAACAATGACCAGCACTCATAAGCTGGAGTCTTGTAAACCCTTGTTTTATAAACTAAGGATTCTTCCTCTACCATGCATGTATATATTTGGAATAGCAGTCTTCACATAGAAAATTCTCATGAATCAAACAAAGAAACTTTTACTTTAAATTCTGATGTACACAACTACCACACCCATCAAAAGGATAACCTACATGTTCCCCATGCTGAAACTACACTTTATCAAAAAAGTACCCTAATAGAGGGCATTACACTTTACAACAAACTAGGCAATGATATTAAAAGATATAAACACAATTCATACATTTAAAAGTAAATTGAAAGCTTTCCAGCTTAACAACATGTTCTACAGTGTAAAGGAATATTCAAATTACAACATTTCCCTTAAAAAAATATAAATAAATAACAATTTCTTATCCCATTAGACTTTCTGTTTCATGTTAACTGTTTCGAGCTGAAGCAAAGAAAAAAGAACTGGCATATCGCATCCTGTGAAGTAGAAGGAGAATGCCTGACAAAAAAACAATTCTGTTTCTCTCTGGATTCACAATACGCATTAGGTACTGCAGTTGACTATGTGTACAAATTGAAATAAGAAAAAAACTGGTCAAAACTTGCCTCCTCACCATTTCAAGTTTTAAATATAGAATGTACTAATATTGTTAAATTTTATGTAGTTGCTAACAGAATTGATATGTATTGTTCTAATATTATTATTATTATTATTATTATAATTATAAAAAGTAGTAGCATTAAAATAACATCATGAAATGTTAAATTATCTACTGTATGATATCCTAATTTATCTGTAACAAATATTGTAGAATAATTTCTGGGCCAATGACCCCATCTCAATCAGGTTTTGTTCAGTTTCCCTGGTCCCTTGAGCAAATGCTGAGGTGGCCCCTTGTTTGCTCCTGAACAGTAATGTAACTTCGCTCTCTCCACCCAAGACATCATATTGACTCTTCATACACAATTGTAATTGTATATGTGACTCAATAAATTATTATTATTATTATTATTATTATTATTATTATTATTATTATTATTATTATTATTAATAAGAAAATCAGATATTTTGAAGTTACTGATCACAAAGAGAAAATGATATTGAATGTTAATTTCACTTAATTACCTAAGGTAAGAATTAGACAGACCACTAGAGACAATCTTTGCAGACAAGGCACACCTTGAAAGCATTTGCAATGAGAACATGATTTCACTATACAATCAAGAGGCATTAATATATTTTTTTCACTATATCTCAATCAGGTTTTCTTTTTGTGTCCTTGATACTTTAAGCAAATGCGGTGATGGTCCCTTGATTAGCTTCTGGACGTAAATATAACTTCACTAACTGTACACGTCTTCTAGAGTTCAATGGGAAATATAGTTTTACAAATTATCGTTCTTCATGTTGTTGAAGCATGAAGTTGATTCCTTCATGAAGGTCACAATGAGGAATAAGAGCCCAAATCTATGGTTGATCTACTCTTGCGAATTGTTTTTGTTCACCGGAGCGAAATTTTTGCTAAGAATTTGGTCAAAAATGCTCATTTTCTTCTGTATTTAGAATTTGACTTGTATGACTTAAGAGTAGGGATCCTAAAATTTAAAAAAAACGTGCACAGAATTTACTTCTCCCCCCAGTACGTGACACACTTTCTAACTCTCTTTGACATTAAAATAAATACATATTTTTCCTTAATTTTAATCCATTTTGCAAGAAATGGCTTATGTCAAAATTTATTGTTCGAAAAGGTCCTCACCAATTTTTTTCTTCAATTCACAAGTAAATCTTTTTATTTTGTATACTCACCAATAATAATGGAATCATTGTCATCAAGGCAGTCTGATATTGGATCATCCAAACACAGCAACGCTCCACGCATTTTCCTCACTTCGCGCAGTTGTGGTGCCTGCTTCCCCGACCCTTGCTGATCCAGCAGGTGGTACCTTCGGAGAGCTTCGTCTGCCAGCCATCGCACAGTGCTTTTCCCTGTGTAATTATTTTTTTTAACTCACCTCTGATCCAAATACTTTTAGTAGGAAGTGATACCGGCATTATGTTTTCAAAGTAAATATTTCTCAAACTCTCAAAGTTAATATTTAAATGCTTCTTAATTTGATTATTTTTTATCATATTTAGAAATTACAATTTTTTGGGAATATATTTAAGGCTATCAATTCTAGTTTGTCCTTGCAAATAAAATAATATATTGTAATATTATCAACATAACAATTTTCTTATTTGTAATCATATTGAAGATTGTTGAAATATAGCAAAAAATCTTCATTCATGTAACTATCATGTATCAATAAACAATATAATGAGAAATCTGAAATTTCTATCGAAATAGTTTTAGAAAAATGTTATTCATGTTTAATGCATTTATGTTACATTCCGACTTCCTGTTATTTTCTATTAATATGCTAAAATTGTATTTCTGATATTAGACTTAATTGGGCAGAATTTGAAACAAGTAGGTATTTTTGTTTATTTTTTCCTGATGTTTTAATTTCAGAAAAGAGTTCTTACTCTTTTTTGCCTATTAATAGTGATTTTACATGGAAATGCCAAACTCTGTAAATAAATATTTACTTCAATGAAAATATTTGCAGATGCCATCTTAAGAGTTAAAAAATATTACCTTTCCTATAATTTGCATTCAAAACAACACATTTCTACATGAGCAAATTTCTTCCTGTTTAAGCATGTATACGTACAATTTTCCTCTATTTGAATAGATGAAAATTTATTATCCTTTTGTACATCATTAATTACATTGCACAATCTGGATATTGTTCTATCTAAAATCACTAAGTTTACAAATAATTTATCAACCTGAAACAAAACTACATTGAAGAAGGTTCTAGGTACCACAAGTCTCTAATGTTAGTAAGAACACAAAAGTTGAGTTGTTCAATTTTTGAGATACGAGAAAGAAAGAAAAATCCAAGCACAATTTGAAGTATAATAATTCATAATTTCCCAGTAAAATTGATAGTTTTAACAATCACAGACACTTTATACTTGCTTCCCTAATAAATATGAACACCAAACTTCACTGTTAATTTATCATTTTTGTCATGAATCTCAGAAAATGCATCTGAACCGATAACTTAAGACACAGCATATGTATATCCTACTGCATTCCTGTACTTCAAGAACAATTATGACAAATTTTCTTTTAAGAAAGTATCTTGTAATCTTTCATCTCCGTAAATATCATACACATTATATTAATCTTGTTATTCTAATAATACATACTTACCATCTTTGCAAGGAACAAGTAGCCACTCTCCTCTAACTCTGACATAGACCTTCATAGTTGCAGCCTTCAACTTAGGAACTGGAGGAGAGTCAAAGGAACTATCTCCCTTTATAACCTCCCCACAAACCAGTTTTGTGTTGACAACTCTCAAATGCATGCAATTAAATGTCTTCTGCTACTTTTCATTGGTTCTGGCAAAGTACCAGCCAGGCAGGGCCCATAGAAACAGCCAGATGTAAGGTCCACTTCATTAACAATGCAAGAATCTGCCCCACCTTGAGCCGACTGCAGTATATCTTTCCCTTCTACGTGTTTTATACCAGTTAAATGCTATCCCCTCCAACTCCAGCTTAGCAACAGTGGCATCAACTACATAAATATGGCTGGAGGTGTGGCTTGTTTTGAAAAGTTAGTGGTCATTGCTCTTGGTGTATTAAATATTGAAATTTTCTTACTTTTATGAAGTGCTTTTAACAAATACAAGCCAGAATCTTGACTATGTATCATAAAACATCATAGAAGTTGGAAGGGAACTCTCATTTCCTACTATTTAATTTCCGAAATAACTGTAACTGCATCAATAGTATTAGAATCTAGAAGACACCAAAGTATTTGTTGTTTATCATTTCCCCCAGGAACATAAATAAACACACCAAAAAAGACAATCTCATCAACATAGTTATTTTTATTGCTACTCCTTATCTGGCACAGGCACTGATAACAGAATAAACAATACAACTAATGGGCGTATACAGATTTGTGCCCCTGCACGCTACTCTTCACAATAAACAATCTCCTTCACGTTTATCACTACCTTCAAGGCAGACTTGGAATGTGGCGTATCACAATGCCACAATTGATTCTTTAATTTACAATATACAAATAATGAAAACCACAAACCTATTATTAATTGACAGGTTCATATAGGTCCAAACATATCCTAAAGATATCAATTCTCCTCATGTTCTTAAATATCATAACAAAATTATGGGTGAAAATACACAACCATCTGCATTATGAACGAGTATATTGTACAACTGGATATGCAAAATATATTAATTATTACAAGCTAAGTCGATGGTTGAATCACGCAGGTACAAATATAATTCAAGTTCAAAAAATGCAATAGGGGCGAGTTACAAAGGTAATGAGTAAATGTTCAAAACATAACTAAGCACATCATTTAAATAAAAGAACAAATGAAGCAGGAACAAAAATACTTATTAAATTAACACAAATTATCAATTATCGTTAACAGTGTGAACAGTAAATGAAATTTCTCCCTGTATAAACTTCCACGAGAAAGAATTAAAAATGAACACTTTTCATTATGGCAGTAGTAACTTGCTCATATTTGAAAGTGGAAAAAATGAACTTATACAAGCTTTAATATTGTTTTTTCTTCTTCTTTCTTCTGTCTATCGTAAGCTTAAGGGAAAGACATAAATTAACTCATTTTCACCTTTGCCTTGAACTTTTGGCTAGAAGGTCACTTTTTATATTCAAATTCTATGCTACTCCACACAAATCCTTGGTTCCGGAAAATGGAAAATTGGATACAAAGATCCAACATTGATACTACTCTCTGATCTTAGCATTTCGTTGAGCAGGTATTTTCTTATTTTTTAAGTAGTAAACATTAGCTACACTAAGTTGTCTTTTATGAGATAGACAAGAGCTTCAGTCTTCCTACGCTCAACTTGCAGAACTGCAATGCCATTAATGAAGGTTGTCATGAAAAATTTCTGAAGTTTCTGTAAGGAAGATTTAGTACTGGAAAAGTTTTTCTATCATGATTCATTCAGCCTTGCAAGACTTTTGTATATAAATAATCACATGATTGTAATAAAAGTTTCTTAAGCACCTCAGGTCTTCAGAAAACACATTAACACATTCAAACACACAGGGAATTCACTGAAGAATATAATTATAAATAAAAAAGAAAATCGATCAATATGACAAAGTTATAAAAAACTTATCCATTAAACACTCCTCTACTCTATTACTTTGTTGTTGCCAAAACCAACGCCTGAGTATAATTAAAGATTAACCCAACTTGAGCATTTTAAGGAGCTGAGAAAAAGGCAACATAACACAAAACACAGGTGAACAAATAGTATTTGGCATTATTCTTAAAACTATAGGTAGCAAACAGTTATGCTTCACTGATACAGCATTATCCAATGCAACAATATAACTAATCTTGTATTCAAACACAAGTTGTCTCTATGAACACTCCCCACTTTGCTTCACAATCATCTTTGAGGTTAACAAGTTTTCAAATCAATTTAATATTTACACAGAAAGACAGGGAAAATTCCTCATTAAATGCAACTTATTAAATTCGTTTTTTATTTCGTATAGGCCATAGTTCTAATGACACAAGCATTGGGATCATGATCATGCTTTGAGAATTTGGTATCTACAGCAGCAAAGAATTAGGCAGGGTGACTTGACACAATATTCACAATCTAACTAGCGTCAAAAAGACCACTATTGATCCTTTTCAAATTCAAACATTAACCACTATCACAACTGCCTCACACAGTATGTGCAACACGTTTCCTAAACCTTCTTTACCAGATATAACGCTCTACACTATAGACATACTTTTGTTATAGAAAACTTACACAAATGCCCACTGGAAAATCTAATTACACATACATTTCCCAAAGATTAAAAATACCCTCGGTATATAAAGCTACATGGAACAACACATCATCCTAATAATTTTATTATTTTTTTCAAGCAACTCTCTCTATCACTACATATTTCCTTATTAGGCCAATCAGCATGGAAGTTTACCCCACAGGCGCGGATTTCTGATGTGAACATCACAAATTTACGATTTTTTCATCTAAAAATAAATATTAATCTGGAATGTGACAACACTTTCTTTGTTTTGTTTGTTTGGTAGGTTCTTTTTTTCCAACCATCTTTCTTTTTTATTCCAATACAACACACAGCAGCAATCTATCAGATAGGGAGATCGACATCATTGCACACACACACAGAAGAAACAGGGTGGGGTGGAGGGTGGAGGAAGAGGGAGGCTTCAATGTTCAAGCTCGCTGAAGAAGAGAAGGAAGGGAAATAGATCAAATAGAGGAAAAACGAGCACTGTCCAAGGTAGGGGGCGGGGCCGCCGTCATGACACTGGGCAGAGGCATGTGGCGGGCAGTGGGAAGGGCTAGCAGGGGCAGGCGGCCCGCTCGCCCCGCCCCATCGGCGGTGGCTGCTGCTGCTGCTGGAGGAGCGGTTGGGCGTCGGCCGAGTCGAGGCCGGCGTCGCCGGCGGCGAGCGGCGAGGGCGAGGCCGAGGGCGCTGGAGATGGCGCGGGTGAGGGCGTGGGCGAGGGCGAGGGCGCTGGGGAGAGCGAGGGCGCTGGGGAGGGCGAGGGCGCTGGGGAGGGCGAGCGTTGACGGGTCGAGGGCGGGGGCGGCGTGTTGGAGTCGGACGAGATCCTGCGCGCGGGGCGGAAGCGCGGGCGGGGCCGGCGAGGGGGCGGCGAGTCGCCGCCGGCGCCGGCGCCGTCTCCGTCCCCGCCGCCCCTGTCCTCGGCGCTGGCGGTGGCTGGTGGCGTGGACGCCGGGGTGGGGGCGAGGGCGGGCGCCGAGGTGCGCGGCTTGCGGGACACGTAGCTGGAGCGCGGGAACGGCTTCAGGACCACGCCCAGCTTGCCCGAGCGCGGCCGCGCCGCCCGGTACAGCGCCACCGACGACAGGGTCAGGACCTTCCTGCGGGCACAAGCGGACGCACGCCCTTCAGCTCTTCTGTTAAACAGCCAAATGGCATTTGACGCTTCATGAGGTGGGGCGCGGTTATACGAACTTCATGGTTAATTGGTTGTTAGTGTTTTTGGGCGCGTCAACTACCGAGGTCATTAGTCCCGTGGATGTAGTGCATTTTTTCCCCTCTGGAGGTGGCGGTGGTCTCATTGTTATTGGTGAATAAACGTCATTTTTGAATCGAGAGCGATACAATTTACACTATGAAAATTACGACTACCTTAAGTTACACACAGGGCAAGCTATACCGATCACCCTTTAGTCCAAAGAGGCTTCTGCACACCAACAAGGCATTAAAGAATAGGTAGTTAACAAAACACATATACACTGCTCGAAAGCACAAGTAATCACTTCATTAAATTTCTACACTTACCCCATTTGTATGTATCTAAATTAAACATCAGATAATACAAACCCCCCTACATTTATGCAATTCTTTACAAAATTAAAAATTGTACGTTAAGAGGCAAAGAGCAATATTTTTGGTGGGCTCAACTTGATATAACACACTTCTTCAGATGTCACTGTTCCTCCTGGAGTCACTGGACTGTGTTCATATTAGAAACGAAGGTGGAAGCCATCTATGTACACATTCCTTCCAAGAACAAAACCAGGTCTTCTTTAAAATTAGGGGAGTATGATATACAGCTCTTTACCTTCGAGGCACAAAATGTCGACTTGTACGAATCGCGTGATTTGACGCTATGAATACTTTTCTGTTTAGCTTTACATGATTCGAGCAATAAGTATATTTAGGAGAAATGAAGTCCAGAACACGCCTTATAAAAAGAGAAGAAATGCCCAATTGAAACTTACGTATTAGCTTCCAACAATAAGTACACAGAGTATTTATAGCTCAAATTTAGAATCTTCTGAAAGTGGAGGTCAAGAAACTTCAAACCTCGTTACCTTGACGATTAACTACAGACTTTTTCTTTCATCTGTCAGATTAAGATAAACACCTTGCACAACAACATTCAATATGGCTATATCACGTGAAGAAAATGACGTTCAACCCAAAGTTGTTGAAACAAGGAATACTTTAACACCTTAGAATGACACTGAAGTATATCTCTCGAATATACTGGTCACTTACAGGATGTGATAAAAAATTCTGATGGAAACCACTAATACACACTAAAAATAAGAATGTTTGACAATTTATAAAGCAGCCACGCAAATTCTTATAAGCCATATACCACACTCAGCTAAACCGTTAGGAGATTTTTTTAAGAGAGCATTTTACGAGATACTTCATGACCAAAAAGTCGTCATAAAAGTTTTCAGAAGTATGATTTAGAATTCTGTAGGTCAAGAATAGATTATTAAAAATGTTCAATACTTGGAATTACTTTAAAATAATAATAAATGGAAAATATTTTTAAATTTCATTGTGAAAACAAAACAGTGTACAGTAGAAAGAACGAAAAAATAAATACACTCAATCACCTAGAAATGTTTACTGTTTCCTTCCTTCCTTTGACATAGCTTGCGATGAAGAAAATTATAGTTGGCACAACCATCGAAGTATTCGTAAAACAGAACGGACGGGAGTGTAGAGAGAATCTGTACAAATACGATTAAATACGCAATGCCAATTACAATTTTTCCTAATTTATGAAACTTTGTGTAATTTTTTATGAACACGAAGTAAGATTATCCTACAGAATATGGTAAACACGTCCCGTATTTAGTGTACAAAGTATGAGTAGAAAGCCAAAAACGTGCGGGCGCCTGAAGTTAGGCAACCCCTCACGCCTAGCGTTTCGGAGGGCTGGCATACGCAAGACACCGAAGGCAATGCGAACTAACGAGCACAAGGGTAGAGAAACTTAAGAACCCATACCGATTCGATGTGCCCACGTTTGTCCAGGCCGGGAGACCTGTCCGGAGGGGGGGGGGTCAAATGCAAATGTAAAATAAATAAATGGAGTGCACATCACAATGATCGGCATGCCATTTCGCCTTCCAATCGACCAGAGCCCATAGTGCCCCTCTCCCTCGATAAGTAACCGAGCACAGCGGTGGCCCGCAGATGACAGCTCGGCCCGGGCACCTCAAGCAGGCAATCCGTTTGAGCAGAGACTGTCCTAAGGTCGCTTCGCCCCAACATTACTCAGCAGTTTTACTCAGCATGTAGGCAAACTTAAGTATATATTCTTCCGCCCTTAAGTTAGTGTTAGATGCGCCTTTCGTGCCACGAACTCAAATGCCAGCACGTGTCACGGCGAGAAAAGGCCTACGTAGTATTTTCACTTTTTACTTCTTCAATTAAATAAAACCCATCCTTAAGCCAATGTTGTGAACGGTGAGGCTAGTGGTGCGACCAGCGAGACCCGGTGTCGAAATGCGATTTTCCCTACACAGTTCACCATCTCGCCACAACAGAAAATAAAGCTCTGGCAATACACATGATATACGATTAGGCCAGGATTAGAAATATAAATTAAGATGTACTTACGACGCTAATTAACACTTTTAATTTTATTTTACTACATTTCCTCTTTTTTGTTTTAATATTCTTTGACGTTCACGCTGCTGCCGTTTTCGACAGCGTCATCACTGTAGGAAAACATAGCTTACTACTACTTTCCACGACAACCATTGCGCTGAGAAGCTCTTGGCATGCGCCACGGAACCCATGATCACCTGCATCCCGACATTAGGTCAAATCAATTACATTTTTGTTTTTTAAACTACAAAATTAAAACCATTTCATGCAATCACTACAAAGTCTATAAAACAATCAGAAAATTGGGGGACCACCATTTAATGTTTTGCAATATTTCAATGAAACTAAGTCCACTCACAAGATGGGCTTCCAGTACTGAAGCATCAGCAACAATGCTAACTATACGGTCTGTCAAACGTTAGAACAATATCGCTTTTCGATTAAATATGTTTAAGGTAAAGCGAAGACTAGTTCATTCATAAACACCAAGTCAAAAATTCCTACTACTTTACGAAAAGAGTATCACTTTATATTATAACGCGTGTGCCTCCAAAAAATGTCTTGCGAAATTATAGGAGCCATACTGCGCATTCAGAAACTCTCGTACCAACACTTTCGCTATTCCCAATAGCTTGTGCAGCTACTTCACATTGAGGTGACCGATTGATTTCATGTTTTACATATTTACTTTGAACAAGAATACAAAAATGATTTGCAAGTAATCACTAGGGACGATGTATATGTATTTATATTTTCAAAAGTATGTAATAAAAGTGAAATAAAAATTCACGATGTCCCCATACGAGCAGTTTCAAATACAAAATGTCGCTGACTAGACCTTGAAATGTATATGGCGCGGCTGAATGATCTACCTGTACAGTGGTAAATGGACGCTCGTCGTCATCAAAGTCTTTTACGAAATATAAAATACGTAGGTTGAAAACAATGCTGTTTACGAGGACGGTCGGATGGTCGTATTGCACAGACGGCCTCGAGGATGGGGGCTAAGGGGTTCAAGCCCCCCCCCCCCCAATCCAACACAGTTTTTGGCTTCTGCAGCATCATTGACTGGGAGCTGCTAGGTTCACTGATTGTTTCTGCTATGGTCATTACCCCCGTTAGTGTTGCGAATGTTTTAGGCGGTGTTCCTGGCTGGCGGGGGCTTTCCTCAGCCGGGACAAGCTTTAATCTCCCAACATGCGTGGTAATGAAGTGCTTGTGAGTGGATTGGGGGAGGAAAGGAAGAAAAAGAAGAGGAAGAAAAACTTTACACGCGCTCTTGTTAGGGCACTGCTCGAGCACTCGCCAGATTGCGATCGGAGTAATCACGGAAAACTACCAATGAGAACAGCAGGCCGAATTCTCCTCTAGATAGCGGCAGAATCCGATGTAGCTATAGATCTATATAGCGACAATGTTGGCTCTGGGCTAAACTCAGCCTGTCCGGGAGCTTCTCGGGTTCGAATCCCGACAGTGTCGTATTATTGACATGGGCCACCCTGTGTTTCCAAGCCATTGCGCTTGGGGTGAATGTATGGAAGGCAGGCAGGCAGGAGGAAAAGACGTACGGGTTGCGCTCCTCCCGGCCGCGCTGCTTGCCCTGCTCCGCTCGCCCCTGCTCCACCCTCGTGCGCCAACGCGGGCTCAACAGTTTCTCACGAATGACGCGCAGACCTGCCAACGGAGCGCGCGTGCACACAAAAGACTACCTACGGAGCTCCAACGACAGGCAGGCGCAAGCTTTGCTTCCACGAGTAGACAGTTACCAACTGAAATTTAAAAGCGGAGCATTCGCGGAAAAAAACATATTGAATACGCGCAATAGGAGAAAAAAAAATCACAAATTCAATTACTTTAAGTCAATTAATACTTTTTAGCCATTTGGCAACTTAATAATTGTTTATCAATTCCTTAACCAGCTGAGAATCCTCTGTTTCGGTTCTATGCGGAAAATAAATTTCATGGCTGAGATCACATTAAAAGTACGCGACGCCTTGCGTTAGTTACACATTCTAGTTATTATGTACACAAAAAAGTAGCACGCGAAATCCAGTCCGTCAGCTGCATCCCTTGCCCGACATCTAGTGGAATTTATGGTGCCGAACGGGGGCTAGAGAGATCGGGAAGCGGGCGTCAAACTAGGAGAGAGGTCCAACAATCCTTTGGAGCGAGATACGCAACTTCATTAACCAACTTTTCACATTTTTACAATATACTGTGTATATCTGTGGACTTTTGGGTTACATGGGGGACGAAATGTCCGTTGCCGGCGACGCGTGGGTGCGAGGAGATGATGATAAAATTCTGCACCCGATCACCGACGCTGACACTCACTAAATTCTTATTAAAACTGGAGATTTTGTAACGCGGTCTTCTTGCAATGACGTAAGTTCTTATCGGGCTTTAAAAAAACAGGTTTCTCGCCCCTGGACTGGGAGAATTAATGCATCCATGATTCGTATTTGCTCTCGAGTCGTCATACTCCGGCAAGTTCGTT